TTATTTTTTAATAAATCCTTAATATTTTCCAGAGGATAGTCTAGCTCAGCATTCGATATTTCATCAGTCTCTATAAACCTCAATAATTAATTCCTGGTTATCAAAAATTTTTTTTAATTTTTACTTCTACTCGAGCACAGTTCTGTTTGTTAGGAACTTGAGATCCGAAAGTGTGAATCGTTATTTCTTCTTTTCCCACAACTTTTAATCCCTGTTGTTTAGATGGATGCTTCTGAATATATGAGTGTTGACTAGCGCTGTCAAATAAACAACAAACTAATTTATTGTGTGACCTACTTTAAAGTTCTACTGTCACTGTCTAAAAATATTTTATTCTTACCGATGCTAATATGATTGCATGCTGAATTTTCTACACCTCTTGATTGTGATCCTTTGGGTTATTTCTCATTTTTGTAACAAAGGGTTACATTATGTTTTTTGTGGCAGTATACACAAGAGTTTTTCTTGGATCAGTCTGACAATCTATGACCTTGATCCAAGCAAACATAACATCTACCTTGTAATTTCAGCAAATTTCGTTTTTCATTTACACTCATATTACACTTTTCACTACTATGTGTGTTATTTTTGCAAAAAAAAAAAAAAAAAAATACAATTTTCTTCTTTTACAGGAGCTATTAACTCTGCCACCGACAATGAGTTAATTTTAGAGTTAAACTTATTGTTTGTGTATTTAAAATTACTTTTGTGTTTATTGAAATGTTTATTCTTTCTGTTCAATGGAATGAATTTCGGATCCGGTTTGTTAAGTGTGTACGTTTGTTCACAGCATTTAATTTCTTTTTTCAAAAAAGCAGTTAAACCTGTAACATCAGATTCCTCTTTTGGATCACACTTTCGGTGATATTCGAGAATCAAATCATGATGCAATAATTTCAATAATATCGGATTTAACAATTCTCTGTACAAACCTGAAGTTACTCCTAAATTACTTAAGCTTCGAATATTTATTTCATAAGCGTTGTGTAATCTTCTTAGTGCATTTAAGTTAGAAGAATTTTTAACTGGTTTTTTCTATGTCCAAAAGATTATTCATATGTGATTTTATAATTTTCTCTGGTTTTCGAAAGCATTCTTTTTAAAAGTTCTAAGCACGAATAGTAATTGTGTTCGGTTAACTAAAATCCTTCAGTGACATTATATGCTTGCCCTGTCAATAATGATTTCAAGTATACGAATTTTTCAATCTTGGTTAACACTTTATTTTGATCAATCGCAGCTTGAAAACTGTTAAAAAATTCTAACCATTTTCGTGCATCTCCTGAAATTTTTGAAATTCACCAAGGGACTTTTGGCTTTAACTTTGGCAATTTCATAGCCAATGACGATACATTTATTTCAGAAACAGAAGTGTTCAAAGAATTTGCATCTGATGCATTTTTCACAGAAAAATTTTCATTACATTTATTTAATCTTATTTTAATTCTAAACTTTGCAGACATAATTTGTTCATTGTATTTATCACTTGCAGTAATATCTTTTTCAAATTCTTTGGCATCTTTTAACTGAGTTTCGATTTGTGAATTCAACATTTTCAACGTGTTTTCTCTTCCGAAAATTGTTTCATTCATCTTCTGCAATTCCTGAATGTTTGTGTTTTCAATATTTTCTGATAACAAAGATTCTATTTTTGTAATTAATTTCGTAACACTACTGCATTCATTCATACGTTTCTGCTTCGGTTTGTCTAAAGCTTCCATGTTTAAAATTAAGTAATCACAATGTTGAAACTCAGTTTTTTTTTTTTTTTTTTTTTTCCAAAATTTCAAAGTAAAAAGAAAATTGCTTACCTGTTCATAGGTAATCCATCTGCTAGATTCTAATCCAAAATTCCCTTGGTGAAAGCACCACTAAAAATATTGTTTCTAATCCATAGTTCTATTTGAGAGACCTTTGTCTGCTTTTACATTCGATTTAAATTACAACTTCAATTAAGTCTTAATGACTTTTTATTTACACATACATCTTTATATTACAGTATTTACATGATAGTTGATAATTACTTTAAGACAGTACATTTTAGTTGGTTTCTAAGTCAGAAGTTTGTCTTTACGCTCCTTTGAGTGGTTCGAATCTAATCTCCTTTCCAGATCTCAATTAGAGAAAAAGAAAGGAAGAATGCCCGCCATCTAGTGACAAGAATGGGACCTGTATAGTATTCTCTATCAATATTAGGGCAGAGCTTCAGAATTAGTGCAATGGAAATACACCCATAAAAACCAATGGTCAAATTTTGGTGTCCCATCCACTTCTACTTGTAACTGTACCCTTGTGCTGGTTGTTGAATCACAATTTTCTGTGCAGACATTTTAGTGGCTCCCCAACCACTCCCTTTATCACATTATGATTGCACTTCCAACCTTGCATTACTATCCGATCCCAAATGATCTTTGACTAGCTGCCCCTCCTAGAAGTTTGTACATGTGTTAGCGAATCTGAAAATGTTTATGTGAGGGGGGAGTCATTTGAATTTATTAAGATTTGTTTAAAAAAGGATTAATAAATGAAATCTTATTTAAACCTTTTATTTAATCTGTTAAATCATACAGGGTAACCAAAAACATTCTTGCCGTTTCTGATATGATAATTGGAAGAGTGAACCCCAGCATAAAAATAGTTGCCCAACCTTGCGATGAAGTGATTAGAAGGGAGTCCAAACAATGACCAAAGCGCATTGCATCAGTTCTTCAAACATAACTCACACAGAAATTTGAAAAGGAAATGCAGCTCAAGATAGTCATATTGCAAGAATCTTTATATAAGTTGTACTTCACCTGATTTATCATTTTCAGTACTTTTTATTCAGTGGCATCATATAAATAATGAAATAAAATTTTCAAAATAAAGGACTGAAATTTGCCAGTAAAAGCTGCATAATTTAAAATGTGTATTTTGTTATTTGTATTTCAAATTTAAACATTAGATATAATTAAATCATCTTAAAGTAGATCTCCAGTTATTATATTCTTATTGCTAATATTGAGATTATGAGCACATTGGTAGTCAGACATTTGTGCACCTTTCGTTGGTCATAAGGCTTGAGCACCAATGACAAATGTGACACTTTAATTAACTCCTTCCAAGTGTTCAGAATGTAGACACCCCAGTTCAAAGTTTCTTTCCCTTCTGCAGGCACTTTTCTCTGAATTGCTGTTTCAGATCAATGATTTTTAAATACACTGCTCGACATTGAAAATGCAACACTAAGAAGGAGTGGTCAGAAATTTATGCACATTTTAGAGTAGATGCTCGTCACTGAGTTATGTGAATGATGTTAAATGCGCAGCTCTCTGAGATATGCACGCTTACATGGGTCTTGACGCACGTGAATGGGAAAATGGGCAATATTCGTGTCGTTATTTCTGCCGCGAATTATTAAGAAGTTGGGTTTTTGTCCCGGAGATACGTGTCTAGGAGAATGCCAGGCCACCGTCCCGAAGGCACTTCCGCAGATAGACGATTTTCGAGGGTATGGTGATCAGATTGAGAAGGGCGGGTTGGTCCTTACATAAAATCGCAGCTGATACTCACATGGATGTGAGCACGGTGCATCAGCTATGGCGACCATGTTTGGAACAAGAAAATGTTGGAAGAAGGAAGGGTGCAGGTGCAGCCAGAGTGATGTTAGCACGCATGTCCTGCAAGTCACTTGTACCACGATTCTGCAGCATGTGCAAGATACCCTGGATGTTCCCAAGTCAATCAGACCCATTTTCCGTCGATTGGTTGAATGTGGCCTGCACTCACGGCATCCGTTAAGAAAACTACCATTGACCCCACAGCATAGACGCCAACGTTAAGAATGGTGCCGGACTGGAGTGATGTGGATGATAGAATGGTGAAACCTCGTGTTCTCACGTGAGTCACGCTTCTGTTTATCCAGTGACAGTCACCGCATACGTGTGTGGCGTCGATGTAGAGACAGATCTAGTCCGGCAGTAACTGTGGAAACGCCCCACCACACAACAGTGTGGCATAATGGTTTGGGGCGCTACTGCCTACGATTGCAGGTCACCTCTAGTTCGTATTCAGGGCACTATGACGGCCCAACGATACTTGGATAATGTACTGCGGCCGGTGACAATCCCTTACCTTCAGGGGCTGGCTAATGCAATTTTTCAGCAGGATAACGCCCGACCACACAGTGTTCGCACCTGCCAACATGCTCTGCAAGGTATACAGATGCTTCCCTGGCCACTGTACTCTCCTGACCTGTCACCATTCGAACATGTGTGGGATATGATTGGACTCCGTGTACACACTCTGCCCCTGCCTCGTTCAGAAGACAAACTGTATCAAATAGTTGAAAGGGAATGGAGAGCCATGCCTCAGGACACCATCTGTACTCTTATTGACTCTATGCCTAGATGTGTTTCTTCATGCATCGCTGTCCACGGTGGCCCTACATCCTGCTGAGCCGACGCCGTTCTCACTCTGTATTCTGACTATCATTTTGAAATAAAGATCACTTATTGCTGCTTGCTTTCTCTGTCTTTTTTCATTTTCTGACCACTCCTTCTTGGTGTCGCATTTTTAATGTCGAGCGGTGTATTCCTATTTTGGAAAGATAACTATAGTTCCAACTGCCAGGTGTTTTGCAGCTACCATGTTAATTTGAGATGTAATCATTGGGTTAAGTATTTTAGTGCAAGTCTCAAAATCAAAATCTGGAAATGATAAGAAATTGGCTTGTATTTGGTATGATTATCAAAGTATATATTTCAAAGAAGTTTGAAATGGTTATTTAGTTACTCAAAATGGTTACTTTAAAATTCTAAACAACTATTAAGTAATCTTAAGAGCAAAAGTGTTGTAACTTTTTTGGGGGGAGGGGTTAATAAAATGATAGATTTGATCAGTCCTGTGATTTTGATTAACAGAAATTTGACCCCACCCTCTCCTAGAAAAGGTTTGACTTATATTAGATTTCATTTTCATAGATCTTGTATTAATATCTTATTTTTTTATTATTATTATAGGAGAATGTAGCGTTTCTAGTAGCGATTCCAGTTTTACTTATGGTGTAACTCCTGGTATTTATGCTGGCTTAAAAGTTACAGAACCAGAAAATTACGAAAATTATGTGATTTGTCATAAAGGTAAAAATTCTGTGTTTACTTTTATAATACAATGAACTGTCTTGGTGACCTCTTCTGAAAATAAATAGTTTTAAAAACTCTACCACAAAGCCATCTTCCACGTAATCCTTATGTACTTTGCCATAATCTAAATTACTCAGCAAATCTATAAAAGTGACCAGTTTTCTGAAACCATAAACATCAATACTGAACATTATGTAAGATGACCACCTCTGCAGTCCAAAATCATGAAGGATCTCCATAGAGAGAGTTTGTTGTATTTCGTTCATATTTCTTTATGAAATGTTTATTTTATGTGCTTGCTCTGGATCATATAATTCCTTATACAAAAAGTAAAAAGTACAGTCAAAAGTCGTTAATCCGGACTCGTCGGGACTTCGGCGATTCCGGATTATCGATTTTTCCGGATTATAGATCATCAGTTTAAATCTGGTAAAATGGCATGCAGAAATTATAAAAGTAAAAATATGAAACCGTAATTTACAAATAAAGAACAATTATGATCTAAAGGGTATCAAAATTGACAAAAAAAGAAAAAGCTTAATATTTATTGGTTTACTTTATTAAACATTTCTTTCAATGTAAGTTGTTTCAGTTGCTTCGTTTTTTATGTGATAATACATTTCTCTTTAATTCTATAAACAGACATAATTTCTTGTTCAGTTACAAAGGTCCGCTGTTCAAGTCCTATAATTGCTGTGTCGAGAATACCGACTAATTTGTCAATCGAAATTTATTCATTTTCAATAAACTCTGTCACTTTCTTCGCTATCGGAAGCGAATTATAATGACTAGGCATTTGATTTAAATCATATCAAAGACGGAGTACATTGAGTAAGCAATTATAAGCCAAATAAAATAAAAACATCTTCCCTCATGATAAGGATAGTGCTGATAAATCAACTTCCAATTCATTGCACGCCGCTGCGGCGTTAAAGATAAACAAAGTTTAGATAAACAAACGATTTAAGTTTAGATAAACAAAGAATATGCCTTTATCCATTTTTTGCAGCAATTCCATTTTTTGTTTAATGGACTCCGAAAGATACTTTCGCTTTGTATATCCTTTACATATTAGTAAATATATATCGGAAATTTCTAATTATTTGACATAATCGAAAGTTCAAGCTTACTTTTATAAATTGCTCTCTAACAGTCTGCAAAAAATAATAAGTCCGGATCCAATTCGAAGATTAAGGAACAACGCAATCTGCAACATAAACTGAAATAGATATTAGATAATTTTAGCTTAGCTTATCCCGTCCGTTATACATTAAACGCGCATTCGTGAACGTATTGTGCGCACGCGCACACGCAAATTCGCAGCGGTAAAGGTCTTACGCGCATGCGTCAACGAGACGCATGCGCAGAAAGTTTGTAGCTTTGAGGTCCGGATTATGGGTGTCCGAATTAACGACTTTTGACTGTATTACTAGTATGCTCAATGTTGATTTCTTCTACAGACAGTGTAGAAGAAAATTTACCAGTCACAAAGCAAAGAAAACATCATGAGCGTTCAAAATCAGAAACTGAAGCCATACATACTATAAATAGGCAGATATCTGAGAAAAGTAAGATATTATTATGTTTTTTCCAGGTTTCATATTTTTACTGAATGTTTTATGCGTATGATTAATATATTATGAATATTTATCATTTTAGGTTCAGTAGATGGTGCTAAACCTGAAAAAAAGGAACGAAGTGTCAAAGCAATTCTGAGTCAGTTTCTGTCAAGTTCTGCAGTTAATCCAATAGAAAATCCTTTCTCCAATTTAGAACATTTACTTCTACCTCTTACACAAAAGGTAAATTTTCAAGTTTTTTTCATTTTGAAATGCAAAAGAATGTATGTTAGTGACAGATAAATACAGTTTTAAAAATCCAAACTAAGAAGTTTGTTCATAGTAAATACTAAATGATACAGAAAAATAACAGTAAAATAATTAAATTACCATTAACATAAAATAAAACATTGCATACTTAGCCATAAGTAACAAATGAATTTATGATAAATGTGTAATTCAACTTTCTTCTCTTTTCTTACACCATTTAATATGTGTTGTAATAAGGTTTCGTTTCTTGGTTTTAGAATGGCATCAGGTTATTTTGTTTTATTCATTAAGTTTTATAACCCTCAACCCCCTAGTATTGTTTCTTTTTAGCCTTTAGCCTGCAATTTCTAGTAATATGAGATGCTGAACACTCATAGGTGAGTTCTTATTTGCTATTAATTTTCAGAATCTGAAATTTTTTTATCAAATTTTAAGTTGTGCCATTTATGACCTCGATTCAAAAACATTGCAGTAATGAAGTCGAACTAATTTCATTTTGCTCCTATAAAAAAGTAAGAATCATTCAGGTTTCATTCTTGTTTGTTTAATATTTTTTTATCTGCTGTGTAGCATTTTATCATTTTTCCAAAATTTAAAGATAGTTTTGTTTATTTTTGTTTGTTTATTGCATTATGTGCTAATTTTAGTTTCTTGCTTTCCATGGGTGTAGAGACTATCTTTTAACATTAACTTTATTCGTTTCCTGTTTCCGGCTTATAAACTGTTAATTTAATTGCAGCAGTTTTATACATGTGTCTAATGTACTTTTTATTTTCTTTCACCCATACACTTCCACTATTATTTAAATGACTGACTTTTTATTTTGTTTTAATTTGTTTGACTAATGTTTTTCTTCATAGCTACCAGTTATTGTGCATGAAGAGGAACCAAGTTCCATAATTGCCTATGCTTTAGCATCAGATGATTATGAGCAAAAATTACAAGAGCTTAAACTCAATATCACAAATACTATTAATATCTCACAAAAAGATAGTCAAACATCTAGTCCTTTATTAAAGCATAGACCTAATTCTAAGATACAAAGTGAGAACAGTCGTACAGATGGACATTTCTCAAGTGATGATATGTTTGGTAAGTTTTATATATATATATATAATTTTAGTAACCTTGAATATCTATTCTTTTATTAGAACATTATTATCAAAAATAATTTTTGCACAATAAATGAAATCAGATTAGCTTTTAATGAGAATTTTTTCCTTAATTAAAAAATTTGAGTCATACATGTGTATTTCTAGCTGTGTTTAAATTTACCTTTTCATGGCAGCATGAAGCACAGTTACTTCACAGCTGATATGCCAATATTACAGCATTTTCTCCTTCATTCCCACCCATTACACATTTGTGCCAAAGTTTTCAAACATTTCAGAAACTAATATTTTTGGCACAAGATGGTGTTATATGTTCATAATATTTGAGATACATGTAGATTTGACCTTCTACATCTATCTTTTAGTTGAAATAAGATTAAGATGACTCACACGCACTTGAAATTTTGTTATACAGTCAAAAGTCGTTAATTCGGACACCCATAATCCGGACCTCAAAGCTAAAATCTTTCTGCGCATGCGCCGCGTTGACGAATGGGCATAGGTGTTTACACGTGCGCGCAAGACCTTTACGACTGCGCATATGCGTCTGCGCAAGCGCAGAGTACGTTTTTGCGTCCGCGTTTAATGTATAACGGACGGTATAAGCTAAAATTATCTAATTATCTATTTCAGTTAATGTTGATGATTGTGTTGCTCCTCAATCTTCGAATTGGATCCGGCTTGTTATTTTTTGCAGACTGTAAGAGCAATTTTATAAAAGTAAGCTTGAATTTTCGATTATGTCAAATAGAATTTTCGATTATGTCAAATAGCATTTCCGATGCTGGAGCTCCCAAAGGATCTACAAAACAAAAGTATGTTTCGATGTCCATCAAACAAAAAGTGAAAATTGCTACAAAAAATGGATAAAGACATATCCTTTGTTTATCTAACCGTTCCGAAATCTGTTTATCAATTTCACACTGCTCTGTGCGGGGGTGGGGACGTCGCGGCGCGCAATGAATTGGAAGTTGATCTGTCAGCACTATCGTTATCTTCAGGGCAGATGTTTTTATTTTATTCGGCTTATAATTCCTCACTAAATGTAGTATTTTATCTCGATGTACTCCGTCTTTGATATGATTTAAATCAAATTCCTCATCATTATAAATATCACAAGTACAAACCAAATAGTTTTCTGGTTGCAATTTTCTAATTTCGGCTATGCGTAATGTATGCTTTACGCATGCGCGCATTGAAAGAAATGTTTAATAAAGTAAACAAATAAATATTAAGCTTCTTTTTTTTTTTGTAAATTTTGATACCCTTTAGATCATAATTGCTCATTATTTTATAAATTACAGTTTCATATTTTTAATTTTATAATTTCTGCATGCCATCTTATCAGATTTAAACTGATGATCTATAATCTGGAAAAATCGATAATCCAGAATCGCCGAAGTCCCGACGAGTCCGGATTAAAGACTTTTGACTGTATAAATATAAGGTAAAAGACATGTTCTGGACTTCCAGGCTTCCTGATGGCTCTTTAAATGCTCATGTGGGTATTTATTGATGAATGTTATAGAAGATTTCTTTTGGGGGAAGGGGCTGGAGCATTATGTGTTTCTTTAAATATGCATCTGGTATTTATTGATAAATATTATGGATATTTGTTTTTCCTCAGAGCATTTGGTGTTTAAGTTTCCGGTCCAGTTTCTAATTGAGAATTATATTTTGTGTATGTGAAATGTTTCTGTTTTGAGCATTACAACATCAAAGCATGGAAAAGTGTTAACAAATTAGGCTAAATCAGGTTATATCTGTAACTTTATCATTTATGTAGGAAAAGAAACAGAGTTAAAAGAAATTGCAGGATTATATGAGGAAGGAGTCGTTAAGTACATGGTATAAAAGTTACATGTATGCATGGAAAAAAGTTCAAGTAGAGATACTTGAAGAATTTTCTGGTCAAGGGTACAGTTTGTATATTGATAGTTTTCTTCATGTCTCCATAATTGGCGAATGAACTCTTTATCTTTAGACTTAAAACAAATGCTTATGAGACTGTATTGAGGAGAAGGAAAGGAATGACTGAAAATTTTTCGCCATACAAAATGAAAATAGGCAAGATGTTGGTTTTACAGGGATGGGGGAAACCTTAAATTTCACTACTTTCGAAAATACATGGAATAAAAGTTCTAAGAATGTGTGATGGCAATGTTTCGTTTGTTCCACCAGAAAGGTTTATGAATGCAAGCATTCTAACATGGGACAGTGTGTAGATCAGTGCTTTGAAATTTATCACATAAAAAATTAATTTTGAGTAAAATATTTGTTGTCAGTTGTATGAGTAACTCTCAAGGAAGTAAATACTGAAAAAATGTTAACATGCAAAATAAAAATATTTAAATAAAAAAAAACTATGTAAATAAAAGTATATAAAGTATGTAAATAAAAAAATAAAGCATATACCACATATATATAAACTATAAAACATTATTAAACAATGCATTCATCTTTCCCTAATTTCATGCGTTTAGGCTTAGTAGAGGAAAAATCTACAGCCCTGGAGAGATGCTCACAAAAGAAGTAGCTGACTCCAGTGGTATGTATCTGTTCGTGCCTTTCGTCTCTAAAGGTTTAAAAAACTGTAGTCATAATCACATTTTTCATGAAGCAAAAAAGATACAGAAAGATTACAGAAAAGACAGTTATAAGTGAAATTCTGGGGACAGTTTCTGTTAAATTTGTAATTTAAATTGTATGCATAATCATTTTTTCAAAATAACTAATAATTCACTGTTGACAATAATTTTTTTATCCCCTCCCTAACACTTTCTTTAGCAGCATAACTGCTTAATCTCCTCTTTTCTTTTTTTTTTTTTTTTTTTTTTTTTTTTTTTTTTTTACTTTGAAATAACACTAGCTGCTTCCTAACTAGTGGAAGTGCAGATATTTAAATGTTGTGTGTGTACTCCCTCATTCCCCCTTTTTAAAGTAGAATGGATAATGTATAAAAGAGCTTGAAAAGTTGACAAAATTTTTCTCTACTCTTATGTTCATCTAAATATCATTATTTACTGTGCAATATATAAATTTATTTGGTTTATAATCTACCATATTTTAGAGCAAATATTTTATGTATCATCTAGTATTTTAAATTCTATTCTCCCTCTTTCTTTTTAATTTATAGATTTTTCTATTGATGCAACAGAGAAAGGTCATGTAAAACCAGCTAGCAAAATATCAAATTTTCATATTGAAATTCAGTTTACAGACAACACTACAAGATTTTATTGCAGGGTATACTACGCTGAACAGTTTCGTAAGTTGCGTGGTTTAATATTCACTGAAGGAGAAGAGCGTTACATACGATCATTGTCACATTGTGTGCAGTGGATAGCAAGAGGAGGAAAATCAGGATCAATGTTTTGCAAAACACATGGTAAATAAATGTATAAATTATTTCTTTACATTTTTGTGTCTTGCTGTTGTAAAAGAAAACATATTTCAATGTAAAATGTATTTTCTGTCATGGGTTGATTTATTTCTTCTTATCAAAAAATAGATGACCGTTTTATTCTGAAACAAATGCCAAGATTGGAACTTCAATCATTTATGGACTTAGCACCATCTTATTTTCAATATTTAAATAAAGCATATTTGGAACAAGTAAATTTCTATTTTTTACTTCTAAAAGTTTTATTTTTTATTTATAAAGTACAGAAATGTATATGAAACCTAATAACTGCTATATTGTCATAATTAATTATTTTTGTTGTTTCAGTTGTTCATATTATAAGAAGTATTTTTGTTATAATAAACACCTAATCAAATGTTTGCTGTCATATAAAAAAGTAGCTATTTTTCAAGCTCATGTTATAGTACTATCTTAAATTAGTGATAAAGAAAATCTGATTTTTTATGAATAATCAGTTGAGTTTCTAAAGCAGTATTTATTACTGTAAGTGTAAAAGTATAAGAAGAATATCCATTAAAAACTGCTCATGTGTTTGCAAAATTAAGAGAATTTGCAAGTTGGGTCTATTTTTATGAAAAGTATTGGTACTAATTATGCCACTGGAGAGTTATGCAAATATGTAAGTGTACATGTGAGTGTCTGCTGAGCTATGATTGTGGAGAGAATATAAACATACAAGGGGTTTCCGGCAATTTGTGTGCTTGTATTCCTTCATGACATATGCTTTGTTTTTGGCTAGATTTGGGTAAATTTTATAAGGTATCATTCATGATGGAATGAGGTGGAGAATTATTTGTAGGTGGAGACAGGTCAATCACTAGAGATGTAGCTATGGTTTTCAGTGCCCAGAGACAACTGAAGATTTCGTGCCCACCTCCTATTTGCCAAGACTGGAAAACATTTCATTCTAAATTTCTTAGCATCAATTTGGCATCCCCTGGATGTGGTGTCCAAGGGAAAATATCCTCCTTTGCTCTTCCCCCCTTAGCTATGCCTCTGCCAATCACAAGCACAGGTTGTTACAGAACTCAGTGTAATGCCGAGTGTTGTCTGCAATGGAAACAGTTTCAGGACACTGAATCCATATAAAAAAAAGGTCAACCAAGATTGACAACAATGAATGAGGATTGTTTGGTGCTTTCATTGTGATGACAGAGGATTGCTACAGCTTCACAGCGCTCATATGAGTTGTATGCTGGCACTGCAACCTGAGTTTTACGATCTACGTGGGATAGAGGTGTATGTGAGGAGACCCGCTGTTTGCATCCTGTTTATTGCATGAACAAAACAGCACATTTAGCGTGGTGCTGACAACATACATCTTGGACCAGATTTCAGTGGAGCACTGTGCGTTTTACAGATGAGTCAAGATTCAGCTTGGACACTGATTCTTGGCAAACCTGTACCTGGAGAGAGCATGGAACACAATACCATCCCTCCCTCATCTGGGAAAAGGTTGATTATGCTGATGGAGGGGTAATTGTTCGGCCTTGCATTATTTTGGATGACCACACAACCTTGTGTGGGTTTGAGAGAGGCTCCCTGACTGCTGTGAGGTATAGAGAGGAGATCTTAGAACCCTAAATTTGATTTTTTAGGGGTGCTGTTGGTCCTGGGTTCCTGTTAATGGATGACAGCGCTCATCTATGTAAGGCTCAGCTGGATCAATAATTACATGGAAAGCGAGGATATTCGGTGCATGGTTTTTCCAGCTAGATCTTCTTACTTTAACCTTACAGAGCATGTTTGGGACACTTGGAAGGGCAATTTCATCTCACCTGGAGTTGAAAACTGTTCTTGTTGCAAGAGTGGGATCAGCTGTTACAAGGACTTCTCATCTGCCTCTTGTCCCAACTTGTCTAGCTGTGAGAGAGGAGCCATAGCCCATATTAGACTTATTTTCAGTTCAATATCACAACATCATAACATGGATTTTGGATATTTCTGCACTATGAACTTTACTGATATTTATGTGTACATAACATAATTTTTTAATAATAAATCCCTTTCTCTGTTATAAATGTATACTCATACAAAATTTTATTAAAATCTATCCATTAGTTTTTAGCATAATGTGCAAATTCTCTTAATTTTGCCCACAAATGTATTTATTATTTTTCCTTCATGTGTTTCAGAAACCAACTGTACTAGCCAAAATTGTAGGCATTTATCGAATTGGATTCAAAAACACCACAACAAATGCTGCTACAAAAATGGATTTACTTGTTATGGAGAATTTGTTTTATAATCGTAATGTGTCCCGGAAGTATGATTTGAAAGGAAGCATTAGAAATCGACTTGTTAATACAAGTAGAATACAAGAAGAGGATATTGTTCTTCTTGATGAAAATCTCTTAAAAAGTAATTCCCTTTATTCTTTGTTTTCTTTTATATGATCTTGAATGTTATTGTACTGGAATGATAGTAAATTGCATACTTATAAATATTTGTTTCTGCCTAGTAAATAATTATGTTAATTTTCTTATTAAAACAGTTGTAATTTTCTGAATTATTAGAAAACTAAATGACGATGTGAAATTAGTGTACTGGAAAAATATTATTTTGTAATTTTCTTTTTCAGTGAAATGTATAATAATAAAAAACTATGTGAATAATAGCTGCAAGAATAGCACATTAAAATAAATTACACTGAATAGAAGATAAATTTTGTTGCATAGACTCAAGTTTGGGTTTCTTCCCTAACAGTAGAAAAAACTGAGAGAAATTGATGAAGAAATAAAAAAGTACATTTAAAGGAGATAATTGTACTATTCTTAGTTTCATTTGTTTGAAAAAAGCGTTTTGATGTTTCTTTAATAAAATGCAATGTAGTTACTTAAATTTTCTTTAAAATTCCAGTGAAGAGTGTGATTGAATTTTGTTTCATTTACTTGGCATGATATTTCATTGAATTTTTTTCCTCTCAAATATATTGCCTAATTAAAAGTGAATTTTACAACTTAAAATTTCATAAATTAATTGCATTTTTTTAATTTATATATTTAAATAATAGTTTTAGGACTATTTCAGTGTTTAAAATGTGTCCTGATTTGTGCAACATTTTATTTTATTACTCTTCTCCTTACAAAATTGTGAAATGGATTATTGCATGCAATAGCAAAAAAAAATTATGTTTTGTTACAGTATGTTACGCTTTGTTCATGATGTAGATTCCGTTCTCTATAATTAATTCGATTTTTATTTCTGTTCTTTCTGAGTAAACAAATAGTTTATATTTTTATTACTGTTATAAACTTAAATTTAGTTTCAAAATCCATTCAAACTCAAAGATATAAATATAAAAATAAGTATGCATATATGTATATATATATATATATATTACCAAAGAAGGTTATTGCAGACATACAAATGAGGCTTAATATATATGAAGATATTTATATTGATTGGTAACATAGTAGTTTTACATATGAATAAAACATAAATTAATTTTTATTAATATGAAATAAAAAATCAACTTTTGGCTAATATTCTTCACCGTAGGAGAAAATTGCTAATCCTGTCGAGAATACATACTATTTCTAGAACTATACTATACCCTAATGCTCTTTTAATACTAAACTTGTATAGCAAAAAGAATGCATGCCATTTCTGAAATTTCTCATGAACCATGTAATGAGATTAAATTTTAGCAAGATTATAACATTTTTTTTTCTTTTGAATATATACATTTAAAATTATAAAACTGATTGCTATTTTGCATTATATTGCATGCAAACACACAAAAAATGTATTGTTTTATGTGATTCTCTTTTTTGATTAAATTTTGTTTTCTATTATTTCTAAATAACTGTTATTTTGCCACTTTTGTAATTGATATGAAAAGAAATCCAGTTTCAGAATGTCTATATTTGTGAATGTGAAGATAAATTTCATAGTAGCTTATAATTAACAAAATAACAGGTAAACTAAAGCAAACACATATGTGCATATATATTGCAGGATACCTATGAAGCTAGTTAAAAAAAAAAATGAAAATGTTTAAATTGGTAATATAGCTATGCTAAATATGAAATAAGTTCAAAAATGAGTTTCTTCTGCCAATTTTGTGTGCATTTTTTCCACAGTAAAAGAAACTAGAAACTCCTGTGTAGACTTCAAAAACTGAATTTTATTCCCCCCCCCCCCAGTGATTTAAAATTTGTTTACAAACTTTCTTATTTGGCGTTGTTTTGAGAAATCAATTTGTTATTTTGTATAGATATGTTTATTTTTCATGCAACTAGGTATCGTAATTAGTAATACTTACCTTAGAATCTAATTCTGGCCAAATTTTTGTGGATATTTTAACTTATCTCATTTTAGAATCAAACAGTAGTAGATTAGTGTTTGAAGGTCCCCCTCCTTTTTTTTTTACAAGAATTTATCATTTACCCAAACAACTCAGTAATTACAATTTAAGAATTGTTATGTGGATAACCCTGTATTTTTTCTAATTCATAGTTTTGTTTTATTTTATATGTAAAATAATAGTCTATTTTTTTTCTACTTTGTTAGTTACTTGTGACAATCCATTATATGTAAGACCACATTCCAAGACTGTTCTTACTTTGGCTATTAGCAATGACACTCAGTTCTTGGTTGATCAATCAGTTATGGACTACTCTCTCTTAGTTGGACTTGATGAAGAAAAGGGAGAATTAGTAATTGGCATCATAGGTAACTTTTTTTTAATGTAAAGCATTCTTGAGAACTATTAATATAAGAAAATATGTGTGTATTTATATGCTTGCTTACTTTGAAGTGTTTAGCACTACTACTGTGTATGTATCAATTAACTTCATTCATGCAGAATATTAATGTTTATGAAAATCAGTATTCAGTATTATTGTCATATATATGTTACCTTTCCAGTCGTTAGATTAGTAATTGACTTATTTCTTGCATAATGTGTGCATGCATATGAATGATTCACACGTCATTTTATTTTTATTATATTTCAGTTTGAAATAAAGAATGTAATGCTAAAGTACTATTAAAAGCCTTTAAATTTGTTAGGACTGGAGTGATTATATAAGAAATGTAGCTCTTTATATTCAAACATCAGTCATGATGCAAATGTACATTATGCATATGATTAAAATCCTTTGTCAATTAAGACAATGGAATAAACATTTTCAATTACTGTAACAATATACTATATATAAGAAGCTTTCAAAATTATGTTTTCTGTCTTTCTCTCTCTTTATAATTAAACTGTATGTTAATGTATTTTCTGAGCCTGAATTCCCTCCCCCCCCCAAAAAAAAAAAAAAAAAAAAAAAAACTTACAAAAATTCTGAAAGAACTGTTTCTGTTTTTTGACTATTAATGCCTTGGTATCCGACTACGTTCGATATCCTAATTTTGAAAAAGTGTACAAATAAATTCATTTTTTTGTGTTAATTAGCAGAATGCTACCTAAAATGATAGAAACTGTTTATAAACATATTATTAAAATGTAATTTTTACTTTTTTCTCACATTTTGGATAAAAAATGTATTCAAATTTCAGTATCACGAGATTAGTTCCCTCAAAATTATTTATCAATATTTTACTTTTATTATTGTCACTTATATTTATTAAAGCGTAAGGAATAAAATGGACTAAAATCGAAGTCATAAAGCAAAATGTCTATTAAATGTACCTGTTTGAGTACATACACTAGCTATTTTTCGAGAAATTTTTCTCTCTTCATTTACAAAATTGTCTGCAAAAATCTTAAATATGTATATAAACCTAAACTTTTAGTCCATTTAATTCCCAATATTCTATAGAATATTTGTGGGAAGTATCATAAAATTGCTATAGTAATATTTTAAGTTACGGTGTTTTTCGTATTAGAAATGTTGACAAAAACAAGTTTTTCAAAAAACAAATTTAAAGTTTTATCTTTAGAAAATATATTAGAAATTGATATATTACATTGCTAAAACTACCCTGTTTTGTATATTACACCTGCTGTTAACTCTATTTTAGAATATTTTTGCTTTAAAGAAGCTCTTAATTTATTTTCTTGTGATTTTTGCGGAATATAAAGAATGTCGTTTTGAATTGACAATCCGAGTTTTATCAGTACAGTTATATTCCTTGACAGCATAATGTCCATGTTTCATATTAAGTGTTGCCAACAATTTAATATACCCAAAAATCCATTATTAAACTGTATTACTCCTATATAGGAACCAAGACACAATGTTGTCAACTCAACAAATACTTGTTTTAGTATGATACTTTTGATATGATAAGTTATTAAAACTCTCATTGTTTTGTGCTTTGAAACACACTGGACAGGATAATGCAGAAAACACAGATTTCAGAATTTCAACATCGAATATTCTATTACCAGCTTCATTACCAGCAGTATTATTAGCTTCAGTATAATTTTCATAAAATGTTTTATTGTTTCCTAGTTTCGATTCACTGGCAGAAGCTTTCATAGTATATCTGTTTCCAGCAAATCACCGTTTTTTAGAACGAAAAGTTCCACGCTGACCCATTACGACGTTTACAATAATAAAGTGAAAATATTTTTATCACAATGTTAAAATAACAAAGAAAAATGAGAATACTGAATAACAGCAAGCACGCTAAATCAGAGTGTAATCAAATCAGAATGTAAAGACAAACGGAAATGTTGGCAAATATGATACTGAAATTTCGAAAGTAATCTTGCTTCCAAGCACATAATAATAATATATATATTTCAAAATCATCTTTTGAATATCGCCAACAGTATTCAAATGAAATATTCTTCTTTTGAGCAGTCTGTGTCCCTTAAATATAAACTTCCGGCCATTTAAACAGCAACTTCCGGTTCATGGTGTAGAACAAAAACAGCCATAACTCTACTTCTAATCATCGGAGAGACAAAACAAAAATAGTTTTTGAAAGCTAAAAATATAAGCTTTAAATTAAAGTAATAAAATTACTTTGAAAAATTTCTTCAAAATTGACGATCAAAACGTAGTCGGATACCTTAAAGTACAAGTCAGAATAAGTATTTGGTGATTATAAAGATATTAAGATGATTTTCATTGGCATAATTTTTATCTTTAATTAAAAATCTATACATAATTGAATCGTTGCATGTTCCATATGGCTAATAGTGAAAATTCAGATGTGTCTCATTATGTAAAGAAAGCTAAAGACATATTAAAGTTAGTATTATCAATTTTAAAGAGAGTACATATTTTCTGGAAAGAACTGTAAATGTTTTTGAATTTTGTAAAGCCTTTTTTTATTAATTCTAATGGAGCTAAAAACTGATAAAGAAAAACTTTTTTAATTAATTAAAAATCATACTGTTATAAGTAATAAACCACTTTTTACAACTCTTTTTATTACAAAATAAAAAAATTATATGTATTTCACCATAAATAGTACAACAGAAGGAAGAAAATCATTTAACACTATAAAGGTTTTAAAATTTTGTGTGCAGTAAGTCTTTGATTCGTATCTTTATAGACTATATTCGCACATTCACATGGGACAAAAAAGTGGAAATGCTTATAAAGTCATCTGGAATTCTTGGGGGTCATGGAAAAATGCCTACTGTAGTTTCTCCAGAGCTGTACAAAATGAGATTCTGTGAAGCTATGGACAGTTATTTTTTGTGGATTCCAGATCAGTGGACAGGATTAGGAAAGGGTGTAGATGGATAAATGAATTTTATGGAGAGTTAGATATTTTAATATATTTTTTATGCATATATGTAAATTTTATGATATTCTGTAACTACAGTTTATTCATTTCAAATATTTTACTACAAAGTTCCTCGACCTGAATTTCTATTATTTTAATCAGGTTTATTGTATATTTTATTTATTAGCCCATAAATACTGTTGATTTATTATTATTATTATGTATATGCAAAGTTCATTATTTATATTATTTGGATTATGCTATAAATATTTCATAAAAAAGTAAATGTGATAATTCATCATTCCAGTCTGTATATAAACATAATAAAAGATTATTTGAACACGCTTTAGTGAAACAGTTATTCCTGATCTAGTTCATTGATAGTTTTAAAACTGTACATAATGCCAAAAAAAAAAAAAAAAAAAAAAAAAAAGATGAGCAAGTTGCAGTCAACAGACACAAAGAATAAAATACCTTTGAATCCATACAAAAACACACTAATGAAGTAATGAAAACTTTAAAAAATGTGTATCACAAGTGACTTTTTCCAGTTGCTTCCTGACCAAATATAGAAGCATACTTGAAAATACTATACATAATTGAATCGTTGCATGTTCCATATGGCTAATAGCGAAAATTCAGATGTATCTCATTATGTAAAGAAAGCTAAAGACATATTAAAGTTAGTATTATCAATTTTAAAGAGAGTACATATTTTCTGGAAAGAACTGTAAATGTTTTTGAATTTTGTAAAGCCTTTTTTTATTAATTCTAATGGAGCTAAAAACTGATAAAGAAAAACTTGAGGTCTCTGTTATGTTTAAAATATTCAAATGAAAAAAGTATTAGATTTGCAGCAAGCCTGCTTAATTCAGTGTTCAATAATTAATGGAGTGTATATTTTGTTTTTACAATAGATATTTCGAAAATAAAAAATCAGGCAGCACCTAAACTCTAGTTATTTTTAATGTCAATTACCTTGTTTATAGTCTTTGAAAAATATATAGTTTCAGTAGTAATAGTAAACCTGTGAGAATATTAAATTCATAGAAATGATTAGTTTGTAACAAAGCACAGTTTTGATTCATCCAGAGCAGGGGTTCCTAACTGGATTAGTATTGACTCCCTGAATTTTATGAAAAATTGATGGCGAAATTTTGAATGATGATCGAGGGGAAACAGCGGAATATCCACTAACAACTGATTGGCATAATCAAGATCCCACTCATGGCAAAACAAAAATTTGAATAAAATTCATATTTATTTGTTTATTGATATATAACTAACTATATTATGTAGTAAGGAAAGACTCGTACAAAATAAGTATACGAGCAGTGTTGCCACACTACCTGGAAAAGTCGGGTAATTCAAAAATTAACCATAAAAGTTGGAATTTAAATATTTTTGTCAAAATCTGCAAAAGTCAGGGAATTTCTTATAGCGATCCCCAAAAAAGCGATTTTTTTTTCTTGGTGAACATAGAGCCAATCAGATTGTCTTTTAGAAAGGCAAAAGAAGTTTCCAAAATCTTAGGTTTCCAGTAACTTCGAAAATAGAGATGCGCATGTGGATGTGCATGACATACAATCACGAAATTTAATGCACACATTTTTTCTTAAATAAATATAAAACACTTGAATTTATTTTAAAATGTCATTAAATAGATTTCTTTCTTCCTTTAGTTGCAAAATGTCTGCAGAAAAGACATTTTTTTAATCCCGATTGGGCAGTTTCTAATCTTAATCCTCGGTGTAGAAAACAATTCCTATTATATTTTAGGTTGAAATCGCACACCAAACAAAGATTAATTTAGAAGTCAAACAACAAAAATCAGTGTTATATTCACAAATTTTCCTGGAGTAGTTTCAATAGTTTTACCAAACCATGATCTTCAGCTGCCAAAGTGCAAAGGAATGAGATAAGATAAAAATGGCTGGACAGGAGTAAAGCTACTGGTGCCATCTATTGATGAAACAAGAAAACTAAAAAATAATTTCTTTAAAGGCTGAAGGTAAAGATCGATAGGAATTAGGGTCATTAACTAGAGCACAAAGATTTTTTTAAATGTGAAATGCCTCTAGAAAATCTAATTCACCAGCGGGAGGTGTTTATTTGAATAATTTTGGCTGCAGTAAAATGGAAAATGTGATTTTTCAGACCAACTGTGCTGGGCAACAGAGGACTTTAAATACCCCAGGAATTCATATCCGGAATGGGGTCCTTAAGTATGAAACTGGGAATTTTATTGAAAGGAGAATAAATGACCTGAAATTTAAATTTCTATAAAATACATGCAACCTCATAGCTAATTAATAGAAAGAAAGGAATGACTACAGAATTCTTATAATCTAAAACAAGAGTGTGCCTTTTGGTATGTTGAGATAAAGAGCTTTCTAACAGCTTGCTTAATAATGTTGGGTGAAAAGCCTCTGGCAATAGCAACTGCTTTTAAATAATTTAGTTTTTGATCAAGAGCCAAATTGCGGAAGCAAACTTGAAGTGCATGGAAAACAAAGGAGTAAAATGAAGCTAACATTTATTTGGTCGGATGACATGATTTGAAATGTGGTGGAAGGCAGATGGATGATGGTAACAGTAAATGGAAGGCAGACAATAATGGTAAATGGAAGGTTAACAGTAGTACTGAAGTTGGATGTGTTACATGTAACCAATATGTTGAGGAACGGAAGAGAATTGCATGTCTCGAGTTCAGAAGTGAACTGAATAGCAGGATCGATGGAATTTATTATTGAAAGAACTTTATTTAAATCATCTTTATTACTGTCAAACAGGGTTAAAGTGTTGTCTATGTAGCGGAACTATACTGGGAAGTTTAAAGTTTTAAATAATTTTGATTAATGTTCCAGTGGAGGATGCATTAAGATACATAGAAACCAGATTTCATGAATTTCATTTCTCCTGCATCGAACTTGATGAGCTAATTTCCCTTACTCAACTCAGTTGAAACAAATTCATAAGCATTACAAGCAAACTGAGGTATTAGCCATGGGAAGCCCTCTTATTCCCATCCTAGCTCATATCAACATGCATTATTATGAACCAAAATTACTTAAAACTTTAAACTTCCCGATATAATTTCGCTATGTAAACAATATTTTTACCCTGTTTGACGGTAAATAAGGATGATTTAAATAAAGTTTTTTAACACATCCAACTTCAGTACTACTCTTTACCGTAAACCTTCATCGGTTTCCTTACACCACACTTCAAATCATGTCATCTGACTAAACAAAAGTTCATCTTATTCCTTTGTTTTCTGTGCACTTGAAGTTTGCTCGTGCAATTTGGCTCTTGATCAAGAACTAAGCAGTTGCTGTTGACAGAGGCTTTTTACCCAACATTATTAACCAAGCATTTAAAAAACTCTCAACCCCATTCCGGATATGAATTCCTGGGATACTTACAGGATTACTTGCCAGTGTGGTTTAACTCTCTGGCTGCTCATCCCGCGATTTCCACGCGCAGCTCAAATGTAGCAAAATCTGCTCATCCCCCAATTTCCGCGGCCATGTGTTTTTCTTCCTTTATTGAGGAGCGCATCCCGTTTTTTTTTTCCTGTTTAACCATTGAAATAAATTATATACAGTATTTGACGTATAGTTTACGTTTTGGCCAACATATATCGTTAGTTGTCCACTAAATTGCGGGATTTGAAGATATGTGGTATTACAGCTCAAACTTCACTTTTTGCCGCATTTTTCTTACAGAAATGGCTGCTAGAAAACGTTCAGCAATTATCTTGATTATTTAATAAAATTGTTGAATATTAATTCGATTTATTGATTAGATTTATAATTAAATTGATTATTAATTAGATTTATTGAATCTGGCGCAAGGACTGTGAAGTTGGATTTTGCCTTGAACCCTGTTTTGAACTCTATCATACTAAATTGCATTTCTAAGGTATTTTTTCCTCAGTGCTTCATATTTTCTTAAAATTTATACATTTTACTTTTTTATATTATGTAATAAATAGAAATTAACTGTAATTCGATTGAAATTTAATTTTTTTTTTTTTTTTTTTTTTTTTTTTTTTTTTTTTTTGCTGATAGCATCTGAAATTGGTTTTTCTGGCAACTTAGTTTCTCATGATAAAAATCTACATAAAAGTGTTTACTAGAAAGAAAAAGTGCATTTTTCAACTTTCCAATATATATAGATTTAAAATATGAAAAAAAAAAATTACACATTTTTTGAAGCGATTTCGGTCCACAAATTGAACAGTCAGAGGGTTAATTTACATTAGTCAACTAAGAAAGCCTTAAAATTTCCTGTTAAAAAATGAGGTATATGTTAGGAAAAAGGAAACATAGAAGTCTCCTGTTTCCCAGCACTGTTGGTCTGAAAATCACACTTTCCATTTTTCTGCCACTCAAATTATTCAAAAAACATCTTCCATTGGTGAATTAGATTTTTAGAGGCGTTTTACATTCAAAAAAAATCTTTCTGTTCTAGTTAATGACCCTAATCCCAATGCCTTCACCTTCAGTCTTTAAGGAAAGTATTTTTTAATTTTCTTGTTTCATCAATAGATGGCACCAGCAGCTTTACTCCTGTTTGGTGATTCTTATCTTACCTTATTACCATATCTTATCTTGTTCATTTACACTTTGGCAGCTGAGGATGGTGGTTCGGTAAAAACATTGAAACTAGTCCTGGAAAATTTGCGATTATAATGCTGAATTTTAGCAAAAAGGAGTAAGCCCAGAGGGGCTGTTAATTTCACTTTGGCATTTTGCATTGATTCACTTTTCAAAGTATTGCCACAAAGTGTATTATACTTAAAGAAACTAAATGAAGATTCTGCATGAATGTTTCACTGTGATAAAACAACGGTATCTACAGCCATCAAATTTTGAGTAACGTAATCTTCCACTGAATCTGGGCATCTGGAAGCCCTAATTTGAAATTTGTTTTATTATCGATTTCATATTTTTTAACAATTTAGCAAATTTTTTATTAACAAACACGATTTCTAAGCAAGCAATAGCAACACTGTACGGGGGGAAACACTTTTATCTCTAGCGATATTGTGCATCGAAAATTCTAAAGATATGCTCATTTTTAAATTATCTTGCGATATTGCTTTTGAATTTAATTTTATGGTTTAAGTCCAAAGAACATGATATTTAATAAATAAAGATAATGCACAAAATGTTTAAAAAAAAGTCCCTTTGTGCTTAATGTAAAATCTAAAAACGTTCAGTTTTTCCTTTTTTTTTTTTTTTTTTTTTTTTTTTTTTTTTTTTTAATTTAATTTTATTTTATTTCTGAATTAACTATTGTTATATTTATAAAAGTAATGCTTTGGAAATTATATATACATATAGGTCATATGTAATTTGCAAATTTTTATGTTTTCAAGTGGTATAATTAATTTACCCTGAGCACAACCAAAGCGCACTACGCAAATAGCCTGGAAATTTCTTGAAACACACCTGGAAAAGTCAGGGAATCTCATTCTTCTGTTTGAGTGGCAACCTTTTAAGATGGAAATACACAATTATTTAATGCATTTTTTTAAATCTATAATTTTTTTAGAAATATATACACTTTTATGCAATAAGGACAATATAAAAAAGGAAAACTCGGGAACACAAACACACAACCAAACAAATACAGAGAATGCAAAGCTTCCTCAGTGCTTTATTGTTATTTATAAGACTCTTGCAAAATTTGAAAACAGATTTTAATGTTCACTTCCCAGACATTGAAAATTTGAATATGGCTGCATGGCTCATAGAATGCCGACTTGCATGGTATTTGATCTTGATATTATGAGGCAAGAAGAATCAGTTGCATTGAAAAGAATGTTAAAGCACTAGTCTTATTTGGAACACATGGGTACACTAAGGTTTTGAATTTTAGTCATCTGGAGTGAAATATTCTAAAATACTGAACCAACATTAATGACTTATCCCACTTCATACTTAATGAAAGCACACTTTAGTCAAATCAGTTATTTAGTGGAACACTAGAAACATTTAATATATTTGAATGAGATGATTGAAGAATTGAATTAAGCAGTTTTATATCAAATATTAAAAAACTGCATCAGTACATCAAGTGTAGTCAATGCGTTAATTAAAATTGAACTTTTGTGCAATTGGAATTTGGAATTTGTTTTCTGAAAACTTGTTTTTATATGCAAAAGTTAAAAATAATAATGCAAAAAATAAACATTAATATAATATACCATTTTTTTAAAAGGGTCAATGAGGAAAACTTTTTTTTAAAATTTATTCTAGCTGTTTGACCAAAATTTTCAATCTACAGTATATTCATGTGCCTTATGGATCATGTGTAGTCACTTGCAAAATGTGCGGCTTCCATTTTCCAGTTCTCCTCTCTCCAAAAACTTCAGTTATGTATTTTGCTGTAATTTGGCAAAACATAATTTTATATGTGCGAGAATAGACTTCTGTTATGCTATGAAAATTTTATGAAATACTTATCTTAAAAATGCCATTCTTTCAGCAAATACTGCATGGATCTAAAAATTGAAAGCATGTAATTTCATGTACAAACCTGTGATGACATTTCTCTCTCTCTCTCTCTCTCTTTTTTTTAACCTAATTGCTATCTTATCTTCCAGTTGTACATCCCATTTAGTGCTTAAAAATAAATTTTATGCTATGGATTCATAGAGGTCTAAATTATCCAGCCAGATAAAAAAAATTGAGAAACTTTATTATTGTGGCTTCAAGCGATAATGAGTTTCATGGATAAAAATAACTGAAAGAGAAGCAAGAAGTAGTGTTGTAATTTTTTTTTGTAATGCAGAAATGGATATCACCAACTCAATTTTAAAAGTATTGAATAGCTATGTTTGAAAATTCACAATTCAAAATTTTAATTATGCAAGAGAACTGCTAAAATCATTTGCAGAGCAAATTCTAACTCAATAATAGCACATTAGTCTCAAATGGTGTTTGGCTTTTCACTGCCTGTTACTTTTACCGTAGCCTGAGGCATTTCTAGAAAAATCGATCCAAAATTCTCAGAAATGTATTTTCTGAAAGCTTCCAAAATGTTGCCAAATTGGCTAGAAATCATTACACACCTGGCAAACAAACAGCAGCCATCTCCACACTCATTCATCAGTGATATTTAAGAACAACTTAGATTGACAGAGATCAATTGAAGGCAATAGGCTATAGATGACATCCAAGCTGAATATAAGGAGCGTAATTGTCTATGTATATTCTCCATGTTATGGAAGTAGTTGTATATCAATTTGAAATATTTTCTAAAGTTAATTTTATGGAAGCTAATTCATTTGCATTTATGGAGAATCACAAAAGTGTGACGAGTAAAAATCTAGCATTGGGTAATAAATGAGAGAAGATGCTTAATTAAAATAAAAGTGATAAACAATTTAGGAAATACAGTGTTAAAATTCGTTGGTACATTACTGTCAAGATTTCTTTTATATTTTATAAAATACAAAATTATATTTATAATTTATATTTTTATTTATAAATTTACTAGTACTTTTTTATGTATTCTATAAACACATTCGACACCATATGTATTAGTATTTGTTAGTTATGCATGCAAAAGTATTATTTTTTTTTTTTTAGCTTCATCTAATTAAAGCACAATAAATGCTTTTCAAACCCGATTGGTGGTGTGTATGTTTTTACTGTGTAGCCCAGAAGGGTCCGTCAGCAGTTTTTTGCCATTGAATTACAAAAATGTTCCACAAATGTTATCGTACTGTATTTTTTTTTAAAGAATCTAATATCTATGTTTGTATGTTTATTTGAAGAAATCTAGTCCATAGAGCCATAGACGCTCGTTCGTTTCGACTCACGTGATAGAAAACCTTCTTATTGGTTCATTAGTAAATGGTGTATGTTTTTAGACTGAAGGAATGTTAGCCCAGAAGGGCTATTAGTCTCGAAACAGCATTTTGCATTGAATTACTTTTCAAAATGTTGCCACCAAATGTTATCGTACTGTATTATATTTAAAGAAAGTAAATAATGAAGAATCTGCATGGATATATGTATGTTTATTTGTATTATGAAAAAATGACAGTATCTAGAGCCATTAAATTTTAAATACAGTAGACGCTCGTTTTTACGAACTCATAGGGACTACGAAAACAGTTCGTTAAATCGAGAGTTCGTAATTTAGAAAGGCATCGGAAATTGTTAGTATTTCACCTTTTAATGTTTTCGAGACAGGTTAGTGATACTATTCCATGCTTTTATTTATGTATTAGGAATTATTTTTAATAGTATTACTACTTAATAAATGATATCCATTCTATTAAACAAACAAGAAATATAAAATATTTGTAAAACGTACCTTTATTAAGTCATTGAGCAACAAAATAATCACTTATCTTTGTCTGTTTTAAAACAACAGATTGTACAATGCAAGACTCCATCTTCTCTATATTTGTTAGCATTTCACAATTATCACTGGCCGCAAAAAATCGTCTAAGTTCTGACAAGTATTCAGCAGCTTGTTTTAAAGTCGGTCTTGGTGTTACTTCATTTTCTTCTTCTTCTTCTGGATCTGAAAGTCTCTCATTCTCGTTGATTATGCTGCTAATAATATCGTGATCCGATATTTCCTTCGTGCAGATGAATGAAAGTTCTGGCAGCTGTGGATTTCTACGGCGAAGTTCATGCGTGAGAACCTCATCTTCGTCGTTAAATCTATTGTCATGGATTTCTTCAGTTACGTCTGTTTCTTTAATAAAACCTGCATGTCGAAAGGCTTTAGAAATTGTTTCATCTAAAACAACATTCCATGCACTGATTGATAAATACATTGCACCAAGAATATCAATCTGATAAGGTTGTTCCCTTTCCAAGCCAAGGATTACTCTTTGCAAGAGCACTGTCTTATATTTTCGCTTGAAACTATTGATTATCCCCTGATCCATTGGCTGTAAAAACTGCAGTTGCATTGGTGGGAGATATCCACACGGGTTGCCTGAAGCCCAGTGACTTCCATGTGTGCAGTACAATTGTCCACGATTAGGAGAACTTTGCGCTTCTCTGCTGAAAAAAACGGTTATCTAAATCTCTCAACCATTTTTCGTAGATGTTGCCAGTCATCCAGGCCTTATTATTAGCATAATAGCAGCAGAAATCTTCTGAACATTTTTGAAACACCTTGGTTCAGATATTTTCCAAATAAAAGAGCAGAGGCAATTTTGTGACCCAGTCATATTGGCTGCAATCAAAACTGTAAGTCTCTCTTTAGCTTTATTACCTCCAACACATTTATCTCCTTTGTAAGCTAATGTTCTTTCTGGCAAAATCTTAAAAAACAAAGCCGTTTGTCGTCCGCATAAAAACGTCATCTGCAGCGTATTCAGAAAGAAGCAGCAATTTCAACTTTTCTTCTTTCCATTCATTTGCTGATGACGTGTCTACTGCTGCACTTTCAAACACACACTTTCCAGAAACTCAAACCCTTCCGAAATTTAAATTTCTGTAACCAACCATCCGATGCTTTAAAATCTTTGATGTTTAATTTGGAAGCAAAAAAGTGTGCTTGTTCTTTAAGTACATTTCCATCAATTGGAATGTTTAAGCTTCTCATCTTTTGAAAACCAAACAAGCAAAGCCCTTTCCAAATTTGGGTGTTTTGATTCTCGAAAATATTTTCGAGAGAGGAGGGTCCACATTCATCGTTTCCGTTTTTAGCTCCAAAGATCTTCTCTCTTGCCTTTCTTTAAAATCGTTGATAAACTATTTTAGGAATTCCCATATTCTGAGCAATTTGTGTCTTGCTTAATATTTTTTCGTTCAACTTCTTTAAAATCTTCTTCTTTATTTCAACCGCTAAACAAATTCGCTTCTTCATTTGCGACATAGCTCTAAGAATCTTACTTAACGAAAACTGGCCCAATCTCCCTCTCGACTAACGAGACTCACTGATTGAGTTGTCCAGATCAAATGACTATGACATTACAAAAATCAACAACTCTCTTTTAGAAGCAACCCAGAACCCCTTTAACACGAATAGTCTCACCCCACCCAAAACAACATCAGGCCGATGCTCTTCTGAGAGCTCCCACAACAAACAACACCATAAATTTGTCCTAATTCCCCGTCTTCTCCGCCCCCTCCTTCCTTACTGTACTTCTTCGAATGTTTCGCACTTGCTACCTAAAAATAGTTGGAGATTTTATTTGACCTTCACACTTCGTCCCAATGAAACACGCAGAAGTATGAAAACTGAGTTCGCAAAAAAGAAATTTTCCTGATTTGTAGTTTGTAAATAAGAGCGCAAAATTACATTACATCTATGGGAGTGTATTCGGGACCATTTGCTAGTTCGTCAAATCGAGAGTGTTCGTAAAAAAGATGTTCGTAAAAACGAACGTCTACTGTAATGTAGTCTTACACCTGAATATGGATCCCTGAATTTCAAATTTGTTTTATCTATTTCATAGTTTGTAAAACTTTACCGAATTTTTCATTAACAAAACTCAAGGATTTCAGGGCAAGCAATGGCA